TAAGCGAAAGCAGATAATTTGAAAAGGTAATCTTACAGTACAGATTAAACTCACTGCTCGCTAGACTACTAAAGTAGATATAAACCAATTAATTTTTGCATCTCCATGTGTACGGATCAGACGCGGGTGAATGATGATTGGAACATATTTACGAATAATTTCAGTCTTCCTAATACCCCAATTAGATTATTGTGGGCTTGGAGCATACGACAGAGTGGGCCATAAGCTAGTGATTTTGAAACAGACCACGCTTATGCCTGAACTGGTTTTATTTCTGTCGAAAGTTTGCTTATTCTCTTATGTCCATTTACTTTGACGAGGTGAACGCATTTTCGACGGATTTAAGTTATGTATGGTGATAGAAATCGAGTAGGTCCCATGGCTAAATTTATAAGGAGAAACTGATTGCAACACGCCAATTTGGGTTTTCGAGTAAATGCCTCTTGTGGAAGTACCGTGCTAGCCGACAAGGAAGGGGACCTCCTCAGCAATGAACTAAACCCCTTACTGTTGGTAACATTTCACTTTGGACACCCCCGAGGTTTTCTCACCCTGGGTTGGCATATGGCCTCATATCAAAACTTCGTCCGATTTATTTTCAATGTCAAAGACCCCACATAACTCATATCAAGGCATAACCGTTAGATCAACTAAACCTTTAAGTTTGATTTTGTTGATGTTCTAATTGAAATAAATTTGTCTAGGTTCCAAAACCTGCAGTTAGGGTTGCCACAGTGGTGTTTTTCACATTCTGGCAATTCCACCCAAAAGGGTGCTTTAAGAATAAGGCAGCTGTGCTCTAATTTCTATGCCTTGCACAGATTTCATTGTTGAGTCTGTATTTCTAGAAACATTTGCCGAAGGACCCAAATATTCAGAAAGTTCATGTAGTAATGTAGGTTCATGATTGGTGCGGCACATGTAACAAGTGCAGACAGTGTTTGTTAGTGTCAGAAAGTGATAAGTAAACATTCCGGGACCATTGATGCTCATGGAATAGTGATTTCGTCCTTCTGGGATATCACAGCGAATTATTTACCTAAAAGGAACGTTTCAAAGCTAAAAAAGGACTCTGACCTTCTTAATAAAACGTCTGTTTGATCTTTTAAAATGGAAAATAACACAGTGGGGAGATTATGCTGTTTAGTCCAACGGAAACTGAAGTAAGGTAGGCCATTTTAGCGTATGCATTCTAACGGAGAGATGACTTGTTATTGCACGTCCTATGTTTGAAGGAACAAAAGGAGTACATAACAGTAAACCGAAAGTCCGGTATTGGCTCAAGCTTCTGTGTTTCTTATGCGACAGACATCAGGAAATTATCCTATATTGCAATGAAAGAAGTATTCCTCAACACCGTAGATGTCCATCTATAAAAAAACGTACAATTTACACTTTAAAATTTCCTACTAAAACGTATCCCCTTGGCCCTTATTAGAGTTTTAAACGCTGGGTATGACTCTAGGAGCGGAGAAAGCATTGACTGCACTTGTTAGGACAAAACTTATTCCCACAGCAAAAGGTGGACTTTAAACTGCTATTTCTGACTTCCTAAGTGTGAAAAGGGTTGTTCGCCTTTTTTTTCCTGTCTTCAAGTGGCAGCATGTTGACTGTATTCGTCCATACTGGCCTTGTTGCTATCAGTGGGAACAACAAAGCAGGTAAAATTGAAACCGCGTATAAGAGAAATCCCTCTCTGTCTAGCCGCTATCAGACCGTCATAGTTGGTTTAAAACGAATATAAACACGCCAAGACTATTTCCTGAATGTTTCTAAATAGCCTTCAGTCGGAAACTCATAAATCTGAAATCCCAAGCATCGCATGCATAGTGTTGTCTCCTATTGATCCGTCCGTATGTATCCGGCAGATCTCAAAACGACAATAATTACTCCCGCAGCTGCTCTATCGTCTATTTTTGTCAGCCGTCGCTTCGTGTGCTGGCCGACACGCCATCTGCCGCCACTCATAGGCTCGAACAAAAGCCCACTGATTGAAGCAGATGGTGTAACCGGACAACCTCTCCTGATGCCGATAAAATCTCACACAGGTTGTTTGTGGACTGCACGCTCTACAGAATAAGGTAGCGTAGCCTAAAGAGCATGAACTGATCAGGTATGATTGGCTCTCACTTTTTAAGTACTTCTCAGAACATTGGAAAAATGTCACGCTAGAATGAGTCCTCGTCAACAAAAGCTTCTTGGGTTTACAGTTGCACCGCAGCAAAAATAATAGGCAATTCTATATGCATAGATGTGTTGGTTTCGAACCTGCCGACCGATATTTTATTTGTGTAGTTTAATGGAGCCGTTAGATGCTACTTCATTAAAATATTTCCTCGTTGGGATAACGGGACTGTTCTCCTGCATCAGAAGACAGGTGTTCAACGAATCCGAAAACTGCAGTCAAAACGAAAAATGAATTGAAGTACCTGGAACATCCAGTTTTCGGTTTGTCCTGGTGCTTTACCTCCCTTTGTTGGGGCAACCGACAAATGTACAGGTTTTAAATGATCTAATTGATAAAACGCCGCGACTGGAAAGCCTGACAGTAAGGGCACTTCATTGGTAGAGGCAACGCATCAAACAAGGAACATCCATTTTCTTACAGTTTAGATAAAATACTTTCGACCTATTTCAGCGTATGCAATCCAGCCTAGCGGACGGTGATCGGTTCTTAATAACTATGGAGTACTTCAAGGTTCCACATAACCTCTCGCCGCTTACCACTTTATACTGATAATCTCAGGTCACCCAATGACTGCAGTATATGTTAAGTGAACTGAGACTATGGCTATTTGGCACGTAGTTAAGCAGAAGATTCGTCTCCAGTTTTTGAGGGATGATTTGAAGTATGCATTTGAATGGCTATTAAAAACTGTCTCTTAGTTTTTAATCAGAAATCATTTTAGTGTGAGTTTCTACTGCGATGATCTCTCATTCTTCAGTCGTTAAACATTCATCCTAATGAAACATCTTTCCGTCATTTCGGTGCCGCTGTCCTCAAATCCGTTATTCACTTCTTGTGTCGAAATCCTTTTTCATGAAGTTCGTACACGTGTATGGTACGTTCGACGGTCGCGTCCCTATAACGTACTCCAGCCGTGTTTGGAGCCGACTGCATTCGTCTTCTTCTCCACCCTTTTCCTTCGTCTTCTTCTTCTTCTCACTCTTCACTTTCCTTTTGTTATTTTTCTGCTTTGTCTAAGCACGACGTGCTTGCTTTATGATGCTTCTTTCAAATGCTCTCTTCTGTTGCCGATGTCTTTTATATTTTAGCCAAAATAATTATTCAGCGACACTTTACAAAGATCAATAATTTTCTGCTCGAATGCTAAAAGACGTTTTCCGTCCCCTTCACTACGAACTAACTGCAGTGAAGTCCTTCCGTCCCTTTCGCCGTGGCCTCCAGAACAGACCCCGCCTTACCTCGAAGTATTTCGAAATTTAAGTGTAAAGGGACGGAAATTCACAAACATACTGGAGTCGTCTCTTCAATATCCATGCGCTTTTACGTTAACCCATATATTTTTGCCATTTATTTATTTGCATTCTAACGATGGTGAATAGAAAAGGATTATGCCGAGTATAATTAAATTTTACTCTTGTAATAGGGCATATTTTTTCTCTTTACTATAAGATAGGCTGACCACTCAAACATGTTTTTCTATGTAATCCACTATATGACCACTGGGCTCACTTTGTAAAAATATCGGAGTACAGTAGCCCAGACTACAAGAGTGTCTGTGGTACTAAAACCAAGCACCCGCCGAGATCGCAGCCTTCTTTAAATAAAGTGAGTTATATAAATCAATCTTGTCAAAATCGCCCAGTATGCATATGCAAAATGAGCCATATGACATGTAAAAATGGTAATAGTCCGTAATAAGGGGAAGTTAAAAAGTGAAGGCTAGTAAATGCGGTCCGAATTTCAGGAAGTTCAAGAATTTCTGGAAACTTGAAACTTGCTAAAGCTTCTTCTGCGAAAAGGTCATTAAATTCAACAGACTTAAACGAAGCCCTGAAGGTGTTAAACAAATTAATCAGTGTGACCCCGAGCAAATAATTAACAACGACAAGGAAGGTCGAGGGGAATGCATAAATATTAATACTTAATTTTGCAGGCCACTTAATAGTTCACTGCTTACAAGGATATTCAAGATATGAATCGAATGAGCAAGTGGACCACCCTAATCCGAAAAATGCTCAGGATTCGTGCTGTCGTTTCAGAAACATTCCTCATGTAGGGGGATTGCGAGCCAGAACTTCGTCTTCTCATCGTTAGATCGCTTGCGGGTAAGTGCTCTTCGGCACTCACGTATGAAGGATCGTAAGAAACCATTGGCTGTAAATAGGGAATGAAGGTATTTCGCTTCCTCTCTTCTCCCGTCGTCGTCAATGCAGTGTGTTTGAACTCGTTAGAAAAGAGCTCCAACACAACTGCGTTTGTGACCAATGCGGTGGTTACTCCGGAATCGGAGGATGCATCTAGTATTCGTCGTCTTTCGGTATACCGTAGTTCTAATCTCCTCATTAGCCATCCTTGTGACGTTTACATCAAGGAAGGGCAGCTGGTTGTTGTTCTCCTCTTCTATTGTAAATTGGATGTCGGGAAATATTGACTTAAAGAAGACCTTGAAGTCCTGAACGTCGTTCCTCTTTATTACGACAAATGTGTCGTCGACGTATATGGCCCAGAATTTTGGGGAGTATGAGCGGAAGACCAGTCGCTCGAGCCTCCGCAGAACAGCCTCGGCAATCATTTCAGACAGCGGGGAGCCCATCAGTGTTCCCTTCTTTTGATCGTAAACCCGGTTGCTGAAAGTGAAGAAAGTCCTGAGGCAAAGCTCCAGAAGTTCGATGACGTGCGTTCGTTTAAGCCGTTGATCAGTTTCATCGTACTTCTCCTGAAGTAGCTCATCGATGATGCTGATGGCAAGGCCGGTTGGAATGCAGGTGACTAAAAAGATATTCCTCAAAAACTGCTCAGCCGATTACACCGTTCATTCGGAATCCTCAGTCAGGAAACAAAATCGTTTGTAAAGCCATTTCGACAGTCCAGAGGTCGGAGTGCCGCGAAAGGAGATTATGGGACGTAGAGGTACTCCCGGTTTATGCATTTTTGGCAGACCGTAGAAACACACCATGGCGGTGTCGGTGGCTTTTGCGGCCAGTGCTTCCTGTCTCTTGAGAGCCCATGACATTCTTAACTTGCCTGTCGCTGTGTTTACACTGTTCACGTGGTTCTTGAACTCAACAGTCTCCGAAAGATTATAGGCAACTTCGTCCTCCAACAGACCTTCCAGTTTCGCCGTGTACTCGGTCTTGTCCATAAAAACCGTCGAGCGTCCCTTGTCGGCGGACAGGGTGCCGATATCCCTCATCTTCCGCATTCTCAGAAGTTCTCGGCCTTTTGCTTCGGAAAACATCCTTTGAGGTTTTTAGCTGGAGAATAAGAGTTGACAATTGTTGCCGCATGGAATTTTTGTACTCTTCGTTGGTTTCACACTTCTGAAGGGCCGACTCGAAGGCTGCGATGAAATCCTCCGGTCGAGCATCTCTTGTGTTTAACTTAGCGTCATAGGATAAAACCTCCAGCTGTTGCTATGTGAGGCGACGAGACGAGAGGTTGTCAACCAAAACACCGCCAGTAAAGGACTCCATTTGTGGACGTATTCTTCAGAACTTATCTAGCGATTGGTTGTCACGCAACCTGCGGTGGCAATGTGCATTAGTGAGTATTGCCGAATTCAGCATTTGCAGCTTGTGTGCGGTGACTTTCAACCGGCATGTGGAAAACCCGCAGAAAAATATTCAGTCTTTTACTCCTTTGCTAGAAATTTACTTAAATTTTGAATTTTACACGTGAAGAAAAGGTATTTTTCGATTTTTCAAAAGTTTCCATATTATTTTTATTACATTGAAATGCCCTTTCATAAAACATCGTTTCTCTGCATTTAATGATGTGGCTTCTTAAGTTTACCATATGGCTTAAATCTGCTGCTAAATTTTATGAACCCTATATAGTCTCCTCTTAGTACTGTAGAGCCAGATCTCAAGTTGCGGCTCATCCGACGAGATCCGGCCACACATTCAAATTCGATGAGGCCGAAATTCTCGCAAGAGGTGACAACCGCGTGAGCCGGGAGCTACTGTGATCATGGTTTACTGGTCCCCAGTCCATTAACAAGAGCAACGAGCTTCCCATTCCATACTACGTGCTGAAACTTCGCCGGGGCGGAGTAACAAGCCATGCGGGGAGGGCAGAGATGAACACTTTTCCCAACACCGGGGTCAGTGCGTCAGATGGTCGAGCAATCATCACGCCAACATCCAACGCACGTGATGAAATCGCAACAATTATCTACTCGAATGTCGGCCATCAAGCAGTGATCACACCAAGTGCGACGATCCCGGATGAAGGGGGGAGCCGTGAATGATCATAGGTATGCGGTAGCATGGCTACTGCATCCTATAAATACCGCAGCCCCTTGTGCAACAACCACCCGTTTCTGCTTTTTTGTCTCTGATGATGGATTCGAGTAGGAATCCGAAACGTCGGACTAAGAAAGCTTTTGCCCCGGCGATCGTGTGTCCTTCTTCAGTATGGTTTTCCGTGCGCTGAAAATATACGGCTTGAAGTTTTGAAGCCCCGAATGCAGGTGTAACGGCATGTCGGGTTCAAAATTAGTCGGGGATTGGGAAAGTCTTTGAAAACCGAATTATACCCTTTCCTTACAGTATAAGATTGGAAGAAGACGTAATTTCCTACCGAAAGAACATAAGAATAAATATTTTTATGCATGTTTTCTATGAAATAGAACTGAATATTCAAGGGCATCAAAAATCACTGAGAAAACGGCACGCTACTTAAGTAGTCATTTTTTATAATGTATAATTTTTGAATGCTGCCGGAAAGACGTGCATCCGAAAGCTGTCATCCAGAGGTAACTGAATTATTTTAGAATTATGCTGCTTGATGATTAGTTTTACAACTTTACTTGATGAATCTTTTCGAAACGATAACGCATTTCGGGATTTCAGTTGACATTTCATGAGTTAGCCCGCCTAATATACATTATGATAGATGGCCCCCACTGATCAGGTTGCAGAACGTGTTAGTTCCATCGTGCCTTGGGGCGCAAACTACAACCCTCGCATTCATTTGCACAGCGACGGGTAATATAAGGGGATATGATGGTGCCAACAAAGGCAAGGGAGACTAGGATGGCCATTTCTCGCTTGTCAACCGTCATCAGCCGGTTATACCAAACCCCAGTTATGGATCACCTGAGCCACGGGTCCCTTGTCCTGTCGGTTGTGATCGGGAAGATTATTAGAGGTGAGCGCTCACCGATCAATTAACGGAACATGTTATTAACATTGTCAGTCCATTGTTAGTCTATTGTCTTTGGCCGTACCACCTCATCTACAAGTGTATGTCATTAGACCAGTGCAAACGAATATACCCAGTGCGTTTCCCAAAGTAATGTGGACGCAGATGGGTGGCTTCTACCTGAATTAGTTTATAGTGATTGTGAACTTGCGATACATCTACCGCATCCGCTCCTCCCTCCCCCAGTTCGGACCACTGGCAGACAAGAGCAAAGAGGCGGCCAGCGAGATCGGACGCGCTGGCCGACGAAACTAAACAGTCCGTTTAGTCGTGTCTCATACGTACTGGACCAGGTTTTCCCACTACCAGGGGACGGCTAACATCCCAACGGAATGGGGTAACCTAAGAGGCCAATTTCAAAGGGAGCCATGGCAGACCTAACGGGACCGATTGGCAGTCATTCAAGTCGCGACTTTTGGTGCATCGTGATAGATTGGAGCACGCCAGTTTTGCTCTTGTGAGGAATGCTCTGAAAATGTCGTGGAAAGGGATTCTGCGCAATTAATCGCACTCTCTCTTTTTTCCCTCTCACGTACATCAGTCGACTGTCCGAGTCTCTCAGCCATTTGGTGTTGGGATTGGGTACAGTAGCTAACATAATTTGCAACAGCCAGTCGAAATGCACCAGATTGCACCAAGAGGCAAGTTTTTCACTGATCTGAGAGTCTGACCGTGGTTTTTATTATAACTCTGACCACGAATAAGATCTCCCAAGGTCACTACAGTTCTCGGAATTAATGTAGGTCTGGTTTTTTGCCGACCGAGTTGTTTGGCTTTTAAAACTGCAGTTGAAAAAAGTAAGTGACTATGAGTTAACAGGACTCCATATTCGATGTTTTACATTTACACTAGGTGAGATAACTCGAAAAATGTCAACCGAAATTCCGAAATGCGTTTTAGTTTCAAAAAGATTAATTAAGTGGCGTTGTAAAACTAATAATCGAGCAGCACAATTCGATAATAATTCAGTCATATCTAGATGTCGGGTTTCGACCGAACTTCTTTCCGGCCTCATGCAAAAAGCACTGTAAAAAATGACCCCTAAATTACCATGAATATTTCCCACTGATTTTCTACGCCCTTAAAAATTCAACTATACTTCGTAGAAACATGCATCAAATACTCATTCGTTTACTCTTTTACTAGAAATTTACCTTTCTTTTGAAATTTATACTCGAAGGAAGGGTATAATTTGGTTTTCAAAAACTTTTCCGTTTTCCGAATAATCTTGAACACGGCCTGTCGTTACGCTTGCATTCAGAATCTCTAATCTACGAGCCGTATATTTTCCGCGTATAGAAAACAATATATTTCTCTACGGCATTAAGGGGAGACTATGTGAGGTTCATAAAATTTGGCAGTGAACTTTAACCACATTGTAACATTTACAAGCCACATTGGTAAATGCAGAGACATGACGTTTTATGAACGGGCATTTCACGGTATAAAACAATTTCACAATTTGAAACTTTTTTAAAACGAATAATACCCTTCCTTCGAGTAAAAATTGGAAGAAGACGTCATTTGCTACCGAATGAGCAGAAGAATGAATATTTTACAGCATGTTTTCCATGAAGTATTATTGAATGCTCAAGCGCATCAGAAATCAATGAAAAAATTGCATGCTACATAAGTAATCATTTTTCACAGAGTATGTTTTTTGCATACAGCCGGAAAGAAGTGATTTCTAAAGCCGGCATCCTGAGGTAACTGAGGTATTATCGAATTATGCTGCATGATGATCAGTTTCACAACCCTACTTAATTGATGCTTTGGAAACGAAAATGCATTTGGGAATTTCGGTCGACATTTTATGAGTTGGCCTACCTACTGTACATCCGTGTCCTGAAAGCCTTTCATCTGGTAGGCGGAAACCTCCAATCACCGATTTTCAGTTTGCATTCTAGTCTGGCTATACCAAATATGAGAATAAATTTTTGACATCTTGATAAGTAATCTGCTATCTTTCTCGCTTATAGTTCCGAGAATTGCAATTATGTCGCGCCGTGGGCGTGGTAATCGGCCACGCTATGCTCTACGACACGAAAAGCGTGTTGAGGATATAAAATTAGACCTAATTGCCGATAAAAGCAGGGATGACTGGGTCGGGAATTTCCGCCTTTACGGTGATCTAATCAATCCCCCTGGCCACAGTCTGTCTCCTACTGAACACTAAATCCAAATTTTTGAGTATGTTTGCTGTCGATACTTCAGTCTGGGAAATTATTCCGACTTATCGGAACTGTCGTGTTTCGTAAAAAAACTCATTTCAATCGCATTAAGATGTTTATTATGGCTGCATTGGAGCCACGTTCGCGTTTGACCGGTAACTCTACTTCTATCTGGATTCACATATAAGCCGAAAAAAATGCATGACTAGGGCTTTTGGGGTCTGCTGGAAAAATGCATACATATTTTCGGCTAGATCGCAGCTGGTAGCAAGGCCCCGTATTACGAGTGGCTGGGGGGTTTGCTTACTGCGGCTATTTTGTGGGGTTCCATAATCATATCTGACCCATTTGGTTTCCGTTTTACGCCTGAGGTTAGGACTAAGATACCGGTTAATTGTTTCTGATTTTTGGGTTAGGGTAATTCCTTTAGGCTTAGGTTTTCGGGTTGCGGTTGAGGTTTGAGCGCACGATTAAATTTCAGTATTACGGTTAGGTTTTCCAGTTACGGCTACGTCTAAGGGCTACGGTTGCGTTTACGATTTCGGTTGGGTTCAGGGTAAGGGTTGCCGTTAAGGTTAACGGTTAACGTTTAAGGTTGAGGTTAGGATTGGGATTGAGGCTAGGATTAGGGTTAAGGTCGCCGTCCGCTTCCCCATTCCTGGCTACCAACTGCGATTTCGCCATATTTTCTCAACGAAGAAATACACGATGCGAATGTCGTTTTGTTAAGCTTGCGAAATTATTGTGATTAACATTCGAAACTTGCACACAGAGGCAACGTGTCCTAGTTATCGGTAGAACATCCGTTAACAGTTGACGCAAAGTT